TTTATATTTTATTAAATTTTAGGGTAAGATGTTGTTATCGGATGAAGTAGGAGAAGACATGGTGAAGTGAGGACAGAATGTCTTCAGCACCATGAGCGCGTGGATTTAGACCAGCTTTAGTACAAAAGGGACTTGCTTCAAGTCGAAGAATATTTTAATTCGACTTAATTCTTTATTAACCTTTTGATTATGAGGAGTTTGTGTTAAGAGGACTCTAGTGTTATTTATTTTTACGTGACTGATATAAATTAAACAAGTTATTAGAAAGCTTGATCTAACCTCCAAATAAGCTATTCGCCAATTATTGAAGCCGATTAAAAGGATTTACACACGCGTAAACACACAGGCAATCAAGCACCCGGTTTATTTCCAAGCAGACATAACTTTGAACTGTTGACACTGCAAACAAGACTCAGAATAAATGAAGTTTATTATCTTGGGATGGGTTATGGTTCGTTCACTTTATCTAGATTTGGACCTGGCTTACTACCTATCGTTATTCAGAGGGAAAATGGGACAGGTAGTTTTTTTTCTGAAACTTTACTGAACTTGGTCAGTTGCTAACGTATAACATACAAAACAATAGGAATATCTCCGCGCTACCCCCTAATTCTCGTAGTTAGATATTGGGTGTATCTATGATTTACCTAAGCTTGATTTTAAAGGACTTTACTTAAGTCGAAGCGTATACATCCGTGCCTTGTATAGGCAGAACAGCTGAACAGGTGAACTCCTAAACCTTGGTAAACCCGTATTTTTTATAATAAACTTTTTTGTCGAAACAGCGGAGGTCATATGTCCAGAGGGATGGATATACAATCGAACCTGGGACTCCTGTCCAGTTGCGAGTAGGTCTTTGTTGTTTCCATGCTTGAATTTAGCAATCCCGTAGTGGACCTTGAAGAAATTCTGCGCGAGTCATCAGTTTTTCAACCAAAACACTTTCACATTCTCATTCGCTCTTAAGTACATTCTTCTCTAATTACTTACCACTTACTTATTTAGATGGTGAGTATTTGATATTTTTCAATCACCCTTTACATCTATTATATAACTACGGTTAATCAGGAGGAGGGATACTCAATATTCCTCCTAAATCGGCCCTCTCACACTATACATTCACACTAATAAATACATTCATTGTCAAACACTAAGATATACAAGATGTGGTATCTATAATGTGTTAGGTTCAATAAAACAGCAACGTTTCCTCTAACAATCGAAACAGTGGACCAACTCTCGTTCTCAAGTATGATTATCATATTAGTAGCATTCCTACTCGCTCTCTATATTGAGCCAAAAGAATGTCATTAAAGGAAAAGCATATTTTTATAATAGTCCACTATCCATCAGTTCGTGTGTGTATTTGTACGTATTCGTATGTGTTGAATTGCTAGAGTTAGACATTGATATCGTAGGACGACTTCGGAACGCATAAAAATTACCCCAGGTCTCATAGTTTTAGATGGTAAATCATCATACTTATTGCCTTCAGATTATCTTTCTTATTTTATATATGTGATAATTTATCTTTTCACATAAGGACATCATCATGTCCAACTTGTGGCCAGTAGTGTAGCTCCGCTCTATCTTTCAAATCATTGGTTATTGTGATTGATAGATAGTATGTCTTTTTTACTCGGCTGCTCAAACTGATCTTTTCTGCAAATATGTTCAAAAGCCGCCGTGGTGTAACGGAGGAAGACGATCGTTACGACAACTGTCGCCTCCAGGAAGGATGACTCCGCTCGTCGAAGGAACGGCCTATGCACCGGCGACAATTGCCGGAAACAGGAAACAAACGGAACAGGTCGCTTATTATTTATTTGAGGAAAAGAGAAAGAGAGGGAGCGTGTTGAGCGAGAGAGCGTGTTAGGAGCGAAATGGTTAATTTGACTCTGCCTCGGGCCTCGTTCGAGTGTGATTGGCAGCCTAGCTGAGTCACTGCTTATGGCGCAGACACCACACAAAAGGTGGGCCTGGGAAAAAATTCGGGGGCGTGGAAAAGCCAGGTGGAGAATTCTTCTGGTCTGTTTATCCGCTCTGAACTGACGCGAACACAGATTGGTTCCTTTAAAAATAATTATGATTGTCGCTATTACAGTATTCGTCAGCTTCCAACAATAACTGGCCTGTTTCTAGTCTGTCCTGCTTTTCGCAATAGTCGAGTTACAATCAGTTGTCAGTCGTCTCTCTTTGAACTTGTTATTGGCTGTTGAACATCTAAATAACGTGGGGCCTGAAAAACCAATTCTAATTGGATCCTACCTTAAGTGAAAAATGTATACACAGACTGAGAGAATTCTGGAGTAGAAAAGCAACTGACATGTTAATGTATCTTTTGAGGACATCTTGTCTACCATTGATGTGTTATGGATATCCATGGATCCAGCGGACGTTTCGTGTTCTGCATGAAATCGTATCAGCCAAATAACCAATTGGGCTCTCATCCCCAACTCTGTCCGTGGGGGATTGCCACGGGCAATAAACATGTTCGGCACACCAGGCTCGATCTGCTATTTCTACTAATGGCCTCGTTGGAATTTTCTAATAAACTCCCGGTCCTCACCCTCCAAGCAGTGGATGATTGCTATTTAGAGCTTCCAAGCGGGGGATCATAGCCCCGGACTTTATTAGTTTAAGAGGATTAGCCCGGGTTTCTTTTTCTCTTTCTCTCTGTCTCTCTCTCCCTCTTTTCTATATATCTCCCCCACCTTGACGGTCGCAAAACTCATATTCCTTTTATAATACTTGCCGGCTCCCCTCCTTTTAAGAGGATTGCCACTAGTTTTGTATTTGGTATGGAGCAGGGAAATCAATCAATTAGTCAATCCTCCTCCAAGCTAATGTACGTGGTAAAAGGATTGCACACTTGTAAACCCACTAGATTTTTGGATCAACGACCTGGATTTAAAAATCAGATTTGTTAAAATTAAGACCGCTTTATTCAAATTCAGATCCAAGTATCATGACAACACCCGTCCTGACGAAGCCTTATTTAGGACATCATAGGTATTGAATCTTCCGCCATTGAAGTTAGGCTTATTTAGATTTTTATGAGTTCAAAATCCTCCGCCTTGAAGTTAGCTTCCTTTAGGTTATCATGGATTCTGAATCTTCCGCCATTGAAGTTAGCCTTATTTAGATTTTCATGACTTCTAAATCCTCCGCCATTGAAGTTATCCACCTTTAGGTTATCATGAGTGCTGCGTTTTCGGTCATTGAAGTTAGCTTCCTTTAGGTTATCATGGGTTATGAATCTTCCGCCATTGAAGTTACCCATCTTTAGGTTATCATGAGTGCTGCATTTTCGCTCAATGAAGTTAGGTTCCTTTAGTTTATCATGGGTTATGAATCTTCCGCCATTGAAGTTAGCCTTATTTAGATTTTCACGTGTTCAAAATCCTCCGCTTTGAAGTTAGCTTCCTTTAGGTTATCATGGGTTCTGAATCTTCCGCCATTGAAGTTAGCTTCGTTTAGGTTATCATGGGATCTGAATCTTCTGCTATTGAAGTTACCCATGTTTAGGTTATCATGAATGCTGCATTTTCGCTCACTGAAGTTAGGTTCCTTTAGTTTATCATGGGTTATGAATCTTCCGCCATTGAAGTTAGCCATATTTAGGTCATCATGGGTATTGAACCTCCTGCCAGTCAAATTAGCCTCGTATGGGTTACATGGATACTGAATCGTCCGCCATTGAAGTTAAACTACTTAAGGTTATCATAAGTTCTGAATCTTCCGCCGTTGAAGTTTACTTGTTTTGGTTATCATAGGTAATGCATCTTCCGCTATTAAAGTTAGGCTTATTTGGGTTATCATCGGTACTGAATCTTCCAACAATGATCTTCTATCAATAAATTCGCACACTAATATATACATTCACTCAAAAACTCACCTTCTAACATAAACAAAATACTACGTATAACGGATTCAACTCTGAAAATAAAAAAATATAGGACCGAAGCTATTTTCAAGAACCATTCTTTTATAGGTGGCCTAACCGAACTTTATATGAAGGAAACCCTTTAATTTAGAAGGCACACCGGGCGATCTTTTAAACCTGGGACTCGTGTGCTGTTAAAACAGAAGAGGTTTATACCAACCGTGTATGGCCAATGCTAAGTTTTATTTGGTAGGGAACAGGGAAATCAATGAAATAGTTAATCAGCTTCGAAGCTAATGTTCGTGATAAAAGGATTGCACACTTGTTAGTGCAGAAGCGATTTTTGGATCAACTTCCTAATTATTGAACAAGTGCATGTATTACAATTATGACTGCTTTATGCAAATTATGACCAGGTAATATGAAAACATCCGTCCTCACGTCCGAAACCTCCTTTCGGTTATCATGGGTTCTGAATCTTCCGCCATTGAAGTTAGCCTTATTTATGTCATCATAGATAGCTATTGAATCTTCTGCCATTGATGTTAGCCCTTTTGGTTTATCATGGATACTGAATCTTCCGCCATTGAAGTTAAACTCCTTAAGAACGAATAGAAACGACTGTGTAACTATAGATTTCCTCTGTCTCGTTTTGTGGGAAGGAGGACGTTCTTTCTTCTTACCCTACACCATTTTTCAGATATGTCTGGTTATCAAATAAAATATTAGCTTTATTATAATTAATTTCTTGTCATTAATATTTAGCTGGTTTATAGAGTTTTCAAGAGGCTTTTTACTAAATTGAAAAATTAAACGAGGTGAAATAGCACGCTTGTAAAAGAGAATTTCCCTTGGAAAACTTGGAAATGGCCGCCGTATTCAACACCCTGTAAATAAAATATTCTAATTCACCGTCCGAATAAGCTATTACTGTGCCCTTCTGGTTTCGCTTGTTGCGGAGGGGCGGGGGACCGAAAGCCGCCAACTCTACTCAAATATTTACGAAGAGGGCTTTTTTAACAGGACAGGAGTTCTAGCCGGTGCTATAAAACTGCTGTACATTTTACGACCGTTGGGAATTATTTCCTCTTCTCACTCCAGTTTCACTTTCCAGGCCTGGGCCACCTCCACCAAGAGTCGAGCAAGGAGTTCTCGTCGGAGACGCTCGCAGGTTTCGGTTCGACGAAGAAAAAGAAGAAAAGGAGACACAGGTGAGCCGCTTAGACGATACGCCAGACTGGAAATCTTCTAACGCTATTAATTTTACAGAACCATATTTACCAGTTACCAGTTGGAAGAGTTGGAGAAAGCATTCAAAGAAGCCCACTACCCGGATGTCTACGCGAGAGAAATGTTATCCTTGAAGACAGACCTACCGGAAGACAGAATACAGGTGAGCTTTCATTTATTTATATTTAATATCAGGCTGATTATAAAGTAATTCTCCTCGTTCGTTAAAAAATGACACCATTTTTAAATTACATAGGTACAAGTTATCATTACTTGCAATTTATAAGGTTCTAAACACGTGTAAAATTTCCTGTGGATCAGTAAAATTTCAAAGTTATTATTCACTTTTTCAATTCAATGGGTTTTTTAAGGGTTCAGAAATATCGATTATCACGAAAATTATCAATCTTCGAGCATGCCAATTTGTATCTATTGAAATACACAATTATTTTGAGTTAGAAAAATAAGAAGAAAATGAGTGCTTTACTTTAGGTTTTAGAGATTTTAGACAGAAAGTTGATTTTTAATTCTGACAATGATGTACAAAATACGTTCTATTATTTTTTAAATTTATTTATTATTATAATATAATTTATTTTCTATTAATTCGATTGCAGTACATACTGAAGTAAATAACTTCAAAAGTTATCGATCAGTGTGATCTTGTTTGCTCTGTAGTTGACATATATAAACTGCTCAAAAATGATTATGGATTTTGTAGTATTTAATTTCCCTAGTATTTTTATTTTATTTTTGATATGTTGCTTAAAAATTTATTAGAAATTATTATGTTTTTACTGAAGGAAAATTTAATTAAGGGATTTTGAAAAATAACAAAATAAAAAGTTTTAATTTCATAATTTTGTTTATTGTACATAATAATTTTTTTAAACAATTCATACTGTGTATAATCCTCTGTTAGCTAAAATTTTGTGCACTTGTTAGGCATACCGTTAATAATATGATTATTAATTTCATAAGGATTCGCTCCATAGATGTTCCAACGCTGCACGCAGTTGTTGCAGGTCGACTGGCTGCGGATGGTAATCGAAAAGCCTTGTCTGCAACGCATCCCACAAATGCTAAATGAGATTGAGGTCTGGAGACAATGTAAGGGGCAGATGGAAAATTGCCAGGTTTTCTAAGCATTGATGAACAAACTCTACCTCTACGAGGTCTGGCATTGTCTTCCAAAAATCGAAAATCCCTGCCAATGAGATCCCTGGTTTGAGGGATGTAACTCGCGATAATTTTTTGGACATAACGGACTGTAGCAGGGTTGGACTTGTAACATTTTCTGCTACCTCGTGGTTCAGATGGTTATACACCCCCCCCCGTCCATGCAGACAGGATCTGGTACCCTAAGCCTCGTGTACTTCTTTTAAAGCACCCGGAGGCCGACAGGAATCCAACTTGTGCTTTAGTGAGGTTTCCATGCTCCCAAGGCTACACCATTATGTTTTGCCTGGATACCCCCTTGCATCCAAGAGTTGGGGGAAGTCTCAAGGAAGTATGCCGAAGGACCTGGATTGAGAAAGGGACGTGACCGGGGACACGAGGCTCACTTTTTCTGGTTGCACCCCCACCTCGCCACACTGTACCACCCATTGTCAACGTAGTTTGACGTTTAATGAGCTATGGCTCCCTGGGTGGATATGGACATAACGGACTGTGGTGAGATTGCCTTCAACAATATGGAGTCAGCCCAGACCATTACACCTCCTCCTCCAAACTGCACTGAAGGGAGCACCAACTGGGGCATCGTACACATCCCCTGTTTTCGGTAGACTCTTCGGCGCATGCTGTCACTGAACAGACAGAAACGCGACTCATCATAAACATAACAGCATTCCAATTAGTGCTCTCTTTTAGGCGCTCGTTGCACCATATTCTCATGGGTTGATGGTGGCGCTCTGTTGCTGCAGGTCGTCTCAAACGGGCAAATGTGAGGCCAATGTAAATTATAAAAAGGGTTCCGTCTTGCAGCAATGACAATATTTCTGTCCTCCCTTAACGTCGTAATGCACTGAGATCCACTACCAGGCCACCTTTTGGCACTTCCAACGTCCCGGAATCGACCTAAATCCCGGGAGACTACGCTCTAAGATACACCAACGACCACTGCGATATCCACTTGGCGGTGACCTCCATGACTCATCCTCACAATCATATTGCAAACTTCGGGTTCAAGTGATGTCTTTCCTTGGTTAGAGAGAATAAAACTGGATTAAAATGGATAAATGATGAGAAAAGGTGTTTGTTTACAAAATGACTAATCTTATGTTTACTATTCTTAAGTAAAATTAACAATGAGGATTACCATTTGTTTTTAGTTTGTATTTTCTATTTTGTTTTATCCAACTAACAAGAATATAGCGGTTAATTTAATTAAAATTATTAGAATGATAAATTACAAATATTCCTATTCATTTTTATAGATGCCAATGCAGTAAAAAACCCAACTCAAGTTCATGTAAAATTGACTGAAAGAATGATATTTTATGCCGTTTTTGTTTTTCTAAAGAAACTGATGTTTGGATTTGGTTCATGAGGCTTTATAAAGGTTGAGGTTTTGAATGGGAGCCACTCCCGGGACGCTCAATTTTCACCAAAGCCTCAAAACAACCCTTTCTTCTTTTTATTTTCCATCCGAGCAACTCTTACCGCAATTATTTAAAGAAAATAATTACGCGCCGCATAATCCAGTGAATGGGACCTTTGTGTCGGTCAATTAGGGCTACGGAGTGGGCCGGCCGAGAGATAATTAGTAACGAAGTAGGTATATAATGGGGGTTGCGCGGGGGTGCGTCGCTTTTGGATGTTAAGGGGGTTGCCACGCGCAGAGGAGACTAATTTATATTGAACGAACCGTCAGTCACAGCGTGAATTCGCAAAACAGGGGCTGTTATAATGATTCTGTATCTTGGTACACCAATTATTCCAAGGGGGTGGCAATTTTTTCTTCCGCCCGGGGGTGAAAAACGCCCGAGGAGATGTCACTCAGTCGGCCCAAGATGACTAGACGATTATGAACGCCGGGTACATATTAGTACACCAAACTTACCCAATTAGACCCTTACTAAAAGAAGGAATGTTTGATTATATGTTACACTTAAACAATTACTGTACAATTTATTTTGATGATGCCTAGAATTATATTAATTATGATTAAAAAGCTTATAATATTTTTCTTCTATTCGATTTTGTATTAATCGACATTTATTGATAATAATAAAATAGACAGTAAAGTAAATCGCATCATATAAACAAATGTGGTTATTATCACCATAATAAAATTGTTTTTTATAGTTTAATTTACATTCTTAAAAAAATTTTGCCGCGCTACGACAAACTCCAATGCACTAAACATTAGGGATGGCAAATTTTTATCGATACGTTTGAGTGTAAATACTTAAAATATATCGATATATTCGTTGAAATGTATCGATATATTAGTTTTTTTATTCACGAAAAAAATTAATTTACAAAAACTTGACTATACATTTTTCTTATTTATTATTGGATAAATAATTTTTAAAAAATTCCTGAAAACTGATATATCGATATATTTTTCACGATATATCGGTGAAGTCTATGTATACTTTTCGATATATTGGAAAACTGATATATCGATATATTTTTCACGATATATCGGTCAAGTCTATGTATAATTTTCGGTATATCGGAAAACTGATATATCGATATATTTTTCACGATATATCGGTGAAGTCTATGTATACTTGTCGATATATCGATATTTAGATTAAAGATTGCTGTCCCTAAATAACATTTCTTCCCGGTATCAATGTTGCTCACAGTGTTGCCCAAACAAGGGAGAGAAGAAAAAACTGAAAGCATATTTGTTAAATACAATGTTAAATTTATTTTTAGTGGTTTTCTACTGCAGTAATGTATTAAGTCCTATCCAAGTTATGTCCAACATCCTGGAACCCCTATCAAATACTGGTGTAAACGATGGAGGATTAATTGTTTTTCAAATATTTTCTTAAATTATTCTGATTAAGTTTGAAAAATAATGTTCTAAATGAACTTCTTATCTCTAAAACAAAATTAGGCCACAAATAACCAGAAAAGCTATTTTGAATTAAACACTCGTGCCAAATGAAGCGTTATATAAACAAACCTCTCTTCTGCCTGTTTAATAGGCATTAATTGCATTAGCCCGCATTATGCATAATTGAAGAAAATAATTAACTTGCTTTGGAATAAAAGAGAAAAGCCAATTGAATAGTTTTGCTCTATTTTATGAGAAGGCTCGTTTCCTTTCGGACCATATAGACTTTTGTCAAATTCGCAGTACATTGGGAATAAAGGGCGATAAAGGTAAAGGACTGAGTCGTCCTGGTTTCCTTGATGGGCGGGGGAATCCAATTTGATATGATCCGATTTTAGATCCTTCCGAGCGTGATAACAGGATTCCCTCCCTATAGTCACTCCCATAAAACGGCTCAATGAAGACCCGATCCAACTCTGTTCAGAGCCCAGACGTTTTCCCATTCTGAATATCTGTAAACGGAATAGTGTGGGATTTTTTTTACGGCGCCCCATGCAACAAAACTTAGTACAATGAGGAATTGGGGAAAAAAACTCAGTTGATTCCTTAAAAGAAGTCTGATAGGACAACTTTAAAATCAAAATGGAGGATGCACGAAAGATAGTAATATGTAAGTAAAGTTCACCATCCTAGTCTCGTTCAGGGAGAAGCGGACGTGGGATCACCGTTTAAATGAAACTTTTTTGAATGATACTAAATCGAAAAATATTAGACACACGATACTATACTCAAATTGTGATTTGGCACCAAGCCATGGGAAACGTAGATATTTAAATACATCATTTTTAGGCCGAGCGATGTAGGAAAATATGCTTAAATATTTTTTCACCAAGAAGCAAAGTTGACATTGGCTTGAAAGAGAAAATCAAAAAGTATTTTTACTCAAAATTACCGCCTACGATTTTATCTCTAAAATGACAAAAATGATGATAACTTAGAAACACTCCACCGATGTACCAGAATCTTTATAAACATTTGAAACCTTCTGAACGAAATGTCAAAAACCTCGCCTTCGAAGGTAAATTACGACCTAGACATAAAATAAAACGTTTGAGGTGTTTTTGTTCATTACATCTTTATTTTTCTCA